CGTCTATGAATGGCTCAGACCCCACCATCTCACGATTGTTTGTGTGTGGAGTGATATCTGTGTGAGTCAGTCTATGTGAGTCAGTCCATTATCAGACTTCCGCTGCATACATGCTCATCCTATATTGGTTGATCTTTGGTTCTGCCCCATACTCGTTGAAGTATTCACGAGTATGTAACAGTTTTGGTATCGGAGCAGACCAAACGATGGATCTGCTCACCAGGTAAGTCTGATTTAGGAATAGATTGCTTCTTCGATCTTCCAAATCAGCTCTGTATTACTATCGAGATTCGAAGTTGCAAATTTTTTTTTCAATTCGGTATTCGGACTTTCACTTCGGATATCTGTTTTAATCCGGTATTCTGTTTACTTCGGGTTCCGATTAAGTGTATTCTGGGTAATCCGACATTCTGATTTTAATTCTTGATTAGGTTTAAATCAATACTCTGTTTAATTCGGCATTCTGATTTCAATTCGGTATTCCGTTTTTTATTCGGCATTCTGATTTTAATCCTGTATTTCGTTTTCTAAATCGGCATTTCCGTTTTATTTCGGTATTGGAAATTAGGGTTACGAAAAGTTTCGGTTTCTGAACAATGGAAATTTGAACGTTTTGGAACCGTAAAGCCGGAAATTCCGCGGAAACGCAGAAAATTAGGGTTGGACTCCGAAATTTTCGCGATTTTTTTTTTTCTTTCCCTAAGTTTGAAAATTCTGAAAACGGACTTAGGCCTTTAAAAATCGGATTTTGTAGGTTGAAATTCCCGAAATTTTACGTTTTTCAAAAATTCGAGTGTTTTTTCTTCCTAAATTTCCGAATTTTTTTTGGCAAAACTGTTCGTAATTATTCCCCCAAAATCGCAACTTCCGGTAGTTCAGTATTCAACGGTGAACTCCCGGACTATAGATGATCTCAACGGACACCTAATCTTTACAATTCAAATTTGGGAATTATCATTATTACAATTATTGTTTGATTGATTATTATTAAGAAATATTAATTCATTATTAATCATTAATGAAACTTTGTTGAAAGGGCCTTTTTTTTTACCCAATGTAGGCCTCAGGCCTTGTAACTAAGCAACGTGGGCCATGTATAGGTAAAGCAGCCTAAAAAGGTATCTCGCCAGGGCTCAGAAACGTGAAAAGCAGGTCAAGAGTCCAAGTTCTTTACCAACGGGCACATCCTGAAGCAAAGGGCATTGTCAAAAGACTTACCTGTTCGCCAGCAGTTGTGTAGGTCATGAATAAGGTGTGTCTGTACGAGTAGCCATTGTGCCTGTTCGTGAACAGAGGAAAGGTTGTGTCTGTATGTACAAAGCTGGTGTCTGTTCGTCTAAAATGTGACCTTTCAAAAGGAAGTCAACAGTTATGTCCCAGTGGCTGGTCTGAGTCGTAGGGGCAGTCCAGATCTAGACTTCAAAATTCGTATCCAGGCCAAAGGGCCTCCACAGCAGTTGCTTTTCATTGGGAATGCTCTGGGACACATGCAATGCAGGGTCTGGGACAAAAGGACAGGCCGAACTGAGCCAATGCAGACCCAACGTGGAGAGGCCAGCACTACTTAAGGAGCAGCCAGCCTCATTCCACGGCAGATCTCCTCTGGCATTCAATACGTGGAAGTGCTGKTGCACTTGTGCGTTAGTCAGGCAGGAGCAGCGCTGGAGGAAGGAGATGCGCTAAGGAGGAGAGAAGGCTGGGCGCTGGAGGGAAGCAGCCATCGC